ATATAAAGATTGAGTAAGAACCACATTTGACTCACTTGACCAACATGGCGAGGGCGCTTTCGATGGGCGTGAGCAGACGCCGCGTGATGTCCTCACTGACCAGATCCGGGCAATTGAGCAGAAAACTATGCATGACCGACAGAGCGCCAGCACGTCCCTCGAGAGTCACCTGCCAGGTGAAAGCATCGCCGCGCGCCTTCTCCGATTCGAGCTCCTTGTTGGAGCGCGGAAAGGAGTTGCGCCATAGCAGTAGCATGCGCGGCAACAGGCCCTTGACCACCGGCGATCCAAGCGTCATGATGGCGCCAATTAACAGCCAGCCGGCCTGGGTGCGATGCAGCGACATGCGGCTATTCTGGGAAGCGGAGCGTAACAGCTCCTCGGCACAATTAAACACCACCTTGCCCTTGGTGTGCGGTATGCCCAGGGGTGAGTGGCGAGCGCTACCCAAAATGGCCGCCAAGGCGCAGCTATAGCCCGCAATGGCCTCCGGCGAGGAGCGCATCTGCTCAATGGCATCAATAAAGCGATCGATGAGCGGCGTTATTTGGCTGGGCACCGCAATGCAGCAGCTGCGCAGACACCAGGCGGCGGCCAGACGCGCCGCAGCACACGGATGCACCAGCACCGCGCAGGTGGCATCGATGGCATTCAGGGATTGATCTGTCAGCAAATTTTGGGCCGTTGTGCCCAGTCCAATAAACAGAGAGCTGAGCTCCTGCAGGGCGCATACCAGCAGGTGCTGACTGAACAGTGTCTCCTGGTTCGAGTCCTTGGCATTCTCCGGATTAAAGTCAATTGAGTTCATTTGCTTGGCCACCAAATGGATGAGCTCTTTGCAGGCGGCGCTTTGCGCCTTCTCACCCAGCATCTTGCCAATGGTGGAGCGCAATATAAAGTTGATGCACTTGCGTGAATAGACGGCATCCACATGCGAACAAGCCGCCTTCGGATTGGCCACCAGATCCAGCACATGGGCAAGGAATGTGCCCAGCTGTCGCTCCAGCCAAACGCTGCCCATGAACTGCACGAATACCACATAAGCATGGGTAACGCCAACGCGCACCTCACGATTGACGCCGGAGCTGCCCTTGATTATTTCGCCAGTGCCCTTCAGAAAGGAGGCGCCACCACGCAAAAAGCCAGACATAAGTATGCCCAGCGCCTCGTCCAGTGAGACCAGACGCAATGCGCCGCCTTTAGCAGCTTGCAATGCGGCGGCCGCAGCTTGGGCTTGAGCGGACTTCTTGTTGCTCGCCGCTAGCTCGGCCAGCTGCTGTGTGTAGGCGAGCAGTGTGCCCAGCAGCTGGGCAACGGCGCAGCGCACTTCATAGTTGCTGCCGTCAAAGGCGCGAAAGCACAACGTGCCCAGGTTCTCCAGTTCCGTCTGGTACAGAAACGACGCACTGTAGATCATCTTGAGTATGCAACGAGCGGCAGCAACGCGTACCGCCATCACGCGATCCAGCAGGCAATGCTTGGCCGCCTTGTATATATCTTTGTGCACATTGGCGATGGCGGTGCCCATGCCAGCGCTAACCTTTTCCAGCGTGTGCATGATCTCGATGCGTGCCTGCGACTCGGCGTTACGCAGCGTACGTATAAGGATTTGCACGGTGTCCTCATAGGTGCGACCCATCATGCGTCCGAGCTTCTCGTACATGGAGCCCAGCACGCAAATGGCGGCACTACAAATGAAAGAATTGGATGGGCTGCTTGGGATTGGATATTTATTATAGCTACTTACAGCTTTGTGGGCAAATAGCTGGGCGAATCATCCTTGTTCTTCAGTATATCATTACAAGCGTTGACCGAATCGAAGAGCATAAAGGTATCGCCCACGGAGAACAGTGTGGCCAGTGCGCTGGCTATCAACTTGCGCATGGGCGGACCTGGAGCGCCCTGTATACGCTCCAAGAGCTGATGCACGAGCTTCTTCTGTCCCGTCTTAATCTCATGCTTGGGCATGTGTGGCAGCGACTTCTCCAGATAACGCAACCATTCCAGCTCAAAAACTGCACGCTTATGTTCCGGCAGCTGCTTCACTGCTTCCTCGTTGAGTGTCAAACTGTGGGCGAGCTCCATTTCGTCGCGTGCCGCTGTTGTGTCTTCTGTTGGCTTGCCGGCTGCTGCGGTGTCGTCACTGTGTATAAATGATCTGCAATGCGAATGGAATGTTTTTAATTAATTAAAATACATGTAGACGTATATAGAATTGTGAGTGTGCACACATGGTGTGGGAATGATGATCAGCAGCCGTTGATCTCATTTCAAATGCGTGCTTCTCAATTTCGACAAGAGTTGATCAACATTGGCGTGACAGTGACTGACGAATATGTATATTGTGACTTATACCGATATCGGTAAGTTCCCATCTGATTGACAGACCGATTGACTGATTGGTGATTAGCGTACAGCCCAAACCGTAAGAGCTAAAAATCTAAAATTTCTTTAGTAGCTAGCGTATGTGAGGTAAGTTCCCAATAAGATGAGGTCATGGAATATTCCTTGTGAAATCGGCAGCATATAGCCACTGTGTATATTGTTTTTTTTTTTTAGATGTGAGTGTTCATTAAAAGTGCATTTCATGATTTTCAACTAATCCACCAAGTTGAGAATAAAATTGAAGACCAAAATTAAACGGAAGTTACTTCTCGTTTGAGCGGTTTTTAACATGTTTTGAAAATCTAATAGAATATTTTAAAGTATTCTACGTAGTTATGTGTTTTACTAATTTTGGACATTATCGTCCAACATATTTATAATAAACTCAAAATACATAATACACACAGTCGCAGTCACTGACATTTTGAAGTCACAGTCACAATATCGCTCATAACTGCTTCCCACTCACTCAATCGCCCACTCAAACATTTCGAAATCCGTGCGATCAATTTTCATTGGCTGCTTATCGATAAATTGCAGCCTATGTTTGCCATTGACCTTGTGCCAACTGTCATAAAAAAATCTGACAAGGTCACACTGGCGCACTAGTCGACCAATTGAAAATGTTATGCATCACTTAAGCTAAATAAATGCGATGACTCTTGCTAAATATTATATTATAGAAACACATAAAGGGAAGCTGTAGATAAACCCACACAATCACAAGTACAGCAATATATGTATGTACATACAATGTACATATAAAATGGATAAGTGTGCGCTATCGCCTTTGGCGCGATAAAAAGCAACCGTTGACATACATAGCGCACATCCTACACAAACACACATACACACACACATATATATATATTTATGCATTGTACATATGAAAAGTCAAGAGGAGCCAAATTCTAAAGAGGGTGTCGGCTCAAAACAAAGACATGAAACGGCAACCCCTTTGTCTTGTTCTGTACAAAATTATGTTCACGCCGGTTGTGGGGCAATGGTTATGGCTATAGATATGGCTGCTGCTGCTTAAAGTTGCAACACAATGGGGCTAACGGTTTAAGGACTGCTTTTGTTCGCAAATGTTGCATATACAAAAAGAAAAAAAATCAAAGCCATGCAGAACAATTGGCTACGCCAGGCTCGGGTTACATAAGACGCCTTGCAACTGTAAGTGCCGCCACTGGGTTTGAGGTCGTGCGGCTGGCGTCAGTTGAGCGTAAAAGGAAACAAGTAAAACCTGTAAGGTGCAGCAGGAAAATAAATATACGAAAAAAAAAACTTAGAACTGCAGCACAGACAATTACAAACTCCCCACACACACAGCCCACCCCAAATTTATCCCGTTTCAGCTCGTCCCGTACAGACTGCAGACTTGAGTGTGTTATTGTTGTTGGTGGTGGGTTTTGTTTTTATTGTTGTCCGTTGCGGGCAAATTTATTTACCTGCGCGCCTCGTTGATGACTTTGCGCAGAAACTGCGGCGTGCGTGCAAAGTTTAAGTTTTCCATTGTGCAATTTACAACTTTGATTTAAAAAAACTTTCTTTTGGCCAATTATTTTGAGCAGCGGCGCCGCCACCGCTTGCAACTTTCACACAAATCGATAAATTTTGTTCATGCCACAACTATTTGAGTACAAAAGATGAGCATTATTTTAACTTGCTTTTTTTCTTTACTACACAGATTACAAGTGGTTAATGTTAATTGGTTGTCTTTTATTGACTGTAAAATAATTGCAAATTTATTTTACTACTTAATGCAAATTAATTGGAGGCAACAACGCAAAAAACGGCACTTGCTACGCGCTCCAAATACAAACGGCAACTGGAACCAAACAGCGGCAGCAGAGAGCGGCATAGCCAACGGCAAGCACAACGCCGCTTGGGCATCACAACGAGAGAAAGAGATAGAAAGAGACAGATTTGCGAAATGTTATGTGGTGAGCACAAGTGTGTGACGTCACATGCGTTATTTTGAATATGCATTTTCTAAAATTTTGATAGGTCTTAGCAAAAATACATATTTATAGAATAAAAATTCCGTTTTTTATTGCTAAAAATTTGTGGGTATAGCGTTCACTTGTAAATTGGAATGCCGTAAATTCAGAGGACTTTGTATATTGAAGTTTACTTTATATAAATTCTTGGCGAATATTTTAATGGAATATATATTAAGCAGATATTATATGTATTATCATATAGTTAGTGTTATGTTAAATAATAAAAATCTAGACTGCTTTATGTTTGACATATTTCAATTAATGTTCAAAACTTTGAGACGTTATAAGCGCGATTTCGTGCGTAACCTTTTAATTACGACAAGCTCGGGGCATACACGACGCGCGGACTGCTAACTAAAATAAAATAAAACAAGAGAGCGAAGAGCGCGCCTACGTGCTTCTCTTGCGGAGGGTCTTATATACATACATATATGTGCGTGTATGTGTGTGTGGGCAAGGTTTATTGATGACGTCGTCACAGCTGTTGACAGCCGCCGTTCGTGCAACAAATTGGCCAGTCGTTATCGATAACTCACACACACACGCACACGAACATATCGAAGTTGGTGGGCGGGCTGTCCGAACTGTGTCAATGTGTCAAACGCGCGATTTGAAATGAATATATTATGAATTAAGAATTTATTATGTGCTCGATGAATGGACAAAAAACCCTTAAGAACTAGGGCAAAAACTGCATGCTGGGTATGTGAACGAGCGCCTTGGACGTGGGGCTATTCGGATTGCCCAGATCCTTAAGAATGCCCTGAACACGGGCCACCACATCGCTGCGCTGTATATCGCCACGGTCCAGCATGCGCTGGAACAGGGTGTGCAACTGCCGCGTGGAAGAGGCATTCGACAGCTCGAACAGCTGCTGCAGCAAATCGTCTGAGTAGCCCTCGTATTTGCTCAAATTCGCCGCTTTGGCATCACGCTTGAGCAGATCGTAGACAAGCAGAAAGTCCACATAGGGCTTGGTGGGCGGCACACGTTTCTTGCCCGCCGTCGATGTGCTGCTCCAGCGATCCATGGCCGACTCAACGTCAAAAGCGGCACGCCCATAATTATCATCATATAGACGCAAGAAGTTATCCAATGATTCCACATCGTTGGTGAAGTCATCGTGCAGCGCCTCCGTCTGTATATCACGGATCAGCGAGAGCGGCAGCCTATCAAAGTCCGTATCATCGTGAATCTCATCGAACAGCGCCTGACCCTCCAGCGGCACAGGTGCTCGCCTGCCTCCAGGTGGTGCATACAGCGCAGGTCCATGTGGCGGCGTTGGCGCTGCTGACGGTTTTGCCGTGGTTGTGGTGCGTTGCGGCGTCTCCCACCAGCTAGGCGGCTGCCACCAGCCGCTGGTGCTGCCGGTGGGACGACGCGTTGTGCTTTCGGGTCTAGCAGCAGCAGCAGCAGCAGCTGGCTTTGAAGTGGAACTGGGCGGTGGCAGCGGGCTGGTGCTCGCATCCTGCTGACCCTCAGCACTGAACGGCGGCTCCGCCGTGGTGCTGGACAGCGGCTCGTATTGCAGCAGATCGATGTAGTAGGCCAGCGCCTGCATGGAGGCGGGCAGATAGCTGTTCAGCAGATTCGCCGGCTGGCCGGGCGAAAGCAGACCAAGCAGCAGCAGCAGCTCCAGCCGCAGACATTTTCGCGTAAAACAACTGCGCATTTTAACGAAAGATTTTTATGTTTTATTTGAGTTTTTTAGTCGGGGTTTTTCAAGCGATTTGCGCGGCAGAGAGACAGTTTGGTAACTGAAAGTTGGCAGACGACAGCAAGAATCTTCAAGAGACTGAAGCTGGTTTTACGAATTGGATGCTCAGTTAAAATTTTTTTCTAATACCCTGTAGCCAAAGAAATGGCCAAAAAGTGTTTGATGCAAGACTTTTGTAGACGGTATAAAGTAAAATATAAAAGCTTTAGAGCTTCTTTAAAACATATAAGGCGATAGTTATGATCATGTAAAGTATGTATATATATATCGTTGCTGAGGTAGGTGGAGAATAAATCCAGAAGCTACAGTTTTAATAGAACTGTCTTTCTGATGAGCTGAACAGTACAATGGAAGCTATTCTGATGGACAGCTTTCTTGGCTTAATCTTTTAATCCATATCTTAATCCTTTGTCTTTTTTTAGCTACAAATGTATGGAAGTAGAAAATCTGGAAACTGGAAAGTTTGTGAATTTTTTAAACCAAAACCGTAAAATGCCAATTTCAACCCTTTGGAAAAGAGCAAGACATAAATTTGAAGCAGTCATTTACAGGGTATCTTGCTGTCGTTTACTGTGTATTTTAATGTTTTTTTTTGTGTGGCAAACTTGTTAAACAGAGGCCAGCGACCGCATTTGTGTTGCGTCAAAAATATGTATTTTTTTTGGTAATCGTCGTTGTCCTCACGCTTTGTTCTTGGAAAGAGTGAAAGATTTTTGAGTATGCGCCATAAACCAGTTTCAGCATGGGCGAAGGCAGCTGTTAAATATTCATAAGCCGCAAACATATAAACCTGAATATCCATATATACATGTATAAATTTTTTTTTGGTAAATCACGAGAATCACATTACATCAAAGTGCAGTTTGAACTGAACTGCATGGTTGGGGAGCAATTGATAAATGCATACGCATCCGTTATCGATCAATTTAATCGAGAGCAGGAACCGCAGCAGCAGCAGCTGTTGGCTGGCAAGAGAGCGAGAGAGCGCAAACCTGTTGAGGCGGCCGTCGTACTCTCCTGTTGTTGTTTTTGTTGTTCTTGTCTAGGCTGTGTTTTCGCTTTCTCAAGCAACAACAACAACTAATATTGGGACAAGGTAAACAGGCCAACATCAGTCAATAAACCGGCGGAACATAACGGTTAAGCAGGCCGACACCGAATTATATATAATTATGCAGAGTATATTAGCACACAAAGGTTTTACTGTTCTTAGCACTCGTGTGGTACAAAAACCTATAATTAATGCTGTCGTGTCGTGTTGTCGCAGTCTCAAATGACAGCGCAGCACCCACACCCGCAGTCATACACACACGCACACACACGTTGCGTGCAAGCACAAATGTTTGCATTGCACTTAATTAATAAGCGTATCGTAATGCAAACTTACCGTTAGATAGTTTGCGAGAACTTTAGTACACTTAAATAGCCACTATCACATGTTTATTGCTTTTAATTTAAACAAATAAGTCGATTTTTCACCAAATTTAATGCAGATACCACTACGCGTTGATATGTGTTTGTGTATGCGTCAAATCGATAACTGGACCTATTAGTCGTTGCTAGGCAAAACGATAGTAGGCACGATATATCGAAAGCGAACAGCTGTTTTTAACTATATGCACATCGATAACATTTGATTGCACGTGTTGCAATGTTTGGTTTTGTTTGATAGTTTGATTTTTATATATTTCTATTACGCTCAGATAAATTAGAAAAAAAAAAACAATGGCACGCAGACCAGAGCACTCGGCACCGCCAGAGATCGTAAGTCCAACGTTTATAAAATTAACATTTAAAATTACTTTTACTCTGTTTTACAGTTCTACAATGACGATGAAGCCAAGAAGTATTCTACAAAGTGAGTTTCGGTACTTTTTTTATCTGCGAGTCATTTGTTTATTTGTTTCCTTATTAGCACACGCATTATTGAAATCCAGGTGGAAATGGCAGAACGTGCACTGGAGCTGCTGGCGCTGCCGGATGATGATGAACCCCGTCTTATTTTAGACATTGGCTGTGGCTCTGGACTCTCGGGCAGCGTGCTCGAGGACAGCGAACACATCTGGATTGGCATTGATATATCCAAATCTATGCTGGATATTGCCGTCGAGCGCGAGGTAGCCGGCGATGTTATATTGGGTGATATGGGCGAGGGCATGCCCTTTAGGCCAGGCACCTTCGATGGCGCCATATCCATATCGGCTCTGCAGTGGCTCTGCAATGCCGACAAATCCTATCACAATCCACACAAGCGCCTATTGAAATTCTTTAGCACATTATTCTCCTGCCTGACGCGCACGGCACGCGCTGTCTTTCAGTTTTATCCCGAGAATTCGGATCAAATTGAAATGGTGACAGCGCAGGCCATGAAGGCGGGCTTCTATGGCGGCCTAGTGGTTGACTATCCTAATTCGGCTAAGGCCAAGAAATACTATTTGGTGCTGATGACGGGCGGCTCAGCGGAACTGCCGAAGGCTTTAGGTAAATCGATATCCCTTCAGAATGAGTCATTTGTTTCATTTGTAATTTCATTGTCAGGCTCGGCGGAGGAGGAGCGCCGCATTAACTACATAAAGAAGCGTGATGCTTGCCGCGATGCACGCGGCAAGGCGCCCAAGAAATCACGCGATTGGATACTGGCTAAAAAGGAGCGTCGCCGTCGACAGGGCCTGGAGACGCGTCCAGATACCAAGTACACGGCGCGTAAGCGCAGCGGGCGATTCTGAGGATTGTTAAATATACAGCTTAATGTACAATTTGCGTATTTATTTTTAACAGTTAAGCTTAAACCTATGTTAAAGTGAACTAGACTCTGCTTTTTGGCTACACCTCGTCAGTTGATGTGGCAACTGGTACTGCCTTCTGATCCTGATCGGACTTGTAACGCTCCTCTGCCCTGCGCTTGGGCGTATCATATGATGTCTCAGCCACAAACATCAGGTACACGGCTATGCCCGCAAATATAAAGGCAAACATAACTAGATCATTTTCAATAGATATTCTACTCTGCTCCTTTTGCATACGTAATCGCTCGTGCTTGGCCTGTGTCGCCTGGCGTCGTTCAAAGCTTTTGCCATAGTGTGCCCGACTCCATTCATCGAAATCGTAGATGGGCGTGCGTCCTTCAGCATCGGCAACCTTGGACTTCTTGAAGCGAGACTTATAGAATTTCGTCTCTGCGTCATCTTCGACATTCACTTCCACATCGGGTATATCCTGCGCGTACTGGGACCCGGCTGTGTGCACAATGCCTTTGTCGTAAAGGCGTCGCAGCCGAAAATTGCCCAACACCTCATAGGCCTGGCTGATCTCACGAAACTTTTTGGCCGCGCTTTCGCTGCCCTTGTTGCGATCTGGATGGTAGATCATGGAAAGCTTATAGTAAGCCGCCTTAATTTCGTTCTGTGTGGACCGTTTGCCAATGCCAAGGGCATCGTAATGGTTGAGCTGCCATTGAGCGTGATTTGTGTGCAGGCAGCGCGTTAGCAGGCGGCACAGCAGCTGGCCATGATGCAGCATGACTTGTAGGGACGCACGATAATAACTTGTTATTACTTGTTATATCACATTATTTTGGTCAGCCAAACAAATACACAGCTGTTTGCACCTCCGCTCGATAGGTCCTATCGATTAACGATAAAGCACGATAACAGCTGTTTTTGCGGCGTAAACAGGCGAATGGCAATTTGAAAACTGTTGCTGCCGCTCGGTTCGTTTTTTTTTTGGTTTTTCCTTTTGGACGTTATTTATATATAGAACGTTGGAGAGGTTGCTTGAAATTTTCAATACAGCGTGCTTGTTTTTCACATGTTTGTGTGTGTGTATGTGTGATCGAGAAGTTTCTGCAGCAATTGATTTGAGGCCAAACGGTATAAAAGAAGCGCAAAACAACCGAAAATTGTGAGTCACTCGCATTGCTATTAAAGCATCTGCACTGTGCATAGCTAAAATAATAGTTTTTCATTTAGAAATATTGTATAATCATGACCACAGACGATACCACCGCTGCCGCCGATGCCATTAGTCACAAAGATAAAGGTAATGAGGCTTTCAAAGCCGAAAAATGGACGGATGCAGTGCAGGAATACAGCGCCGCCATCAAGCTAGGCGCCAAGCATAAGGAGCTGCCTGTGTTCTATAAGAATCGTGCGGCTGCATATTTAAAGCTAGAGAAGTACACGGAGGCTGTAGAAGATTGCACCGAGTCTTTGCGTCTGGGACCCAATGATCCCAAGGCGTTGTTCCGGCGCGCACAGGCGTACGAGGCATTGAACAAACCCGAGGAGGCCTACAAGGATGCGACGGCGCTGTTCAAAGCCGATCCAGGCAACAAATCTGTGCAGCCCATGCTGCAGCGCCTGCATCTGATTGTACAGGAGAATGCGGCGCGTAATGCACAAACTGCAACAAAGGTGAAGCAAATGATGGATTTGGCCTTTGACTTTGCTGCGCCCATCGAGAAGCGGCGCTCGGGCGCCAATAATTTGGTAGTTCTGGCCAAAGAGCCCGCAGGCGCCGATTTGCTGTACAAGGAGCAGTGTATCTCAAAGATAGCCACGCTGGCCAAAGTGGAGAAGGACGAGGAGATCTACTTGAATATGGTGCGCGTGGTGGCCTCGCTGTGCGAGAACAGCGTGGAGCGCACCAAGGGCGTGCTCACGGAATTGGGCATACCCTGGTTTATGCGTGTGCTCGACCAGAAGCACGAGGATTGCGTCAGTACCGCACAGTTCTGTTTGCAGACCATCATCAACTCGCTGTCCGGCCTCAAGAATAAACCGGACGCCAAGCCAAACAAGGAACTGTGTCAGCGGCATAACCGTGAGATTGATACGCTGCTCACGTGCCTGGTTTACAGTATTACGGATCGCACCATTTCGGGCAAGGCGCGAGATGCAGTCATTGAGCTGCTCACACGAAATGTCCACTACACGGCCCTGGAATGGGCAGAGCGTTTGGTGGAGATTCGCGGCCTGTGTCGCCTGCTGGAGGTGTGTTCCGAGCTACAGGACTACAAGTACGAGAGCGCCATGGATATTACGGCCTCTTCGAGCACGATTGCCTCGGTGTGTCTGGCCCGCATATATGAGAACATGTACTATGATGAGGCCAAGCTGCGTTTCACCGAACAAATTGATGAGTTTGTTAAGGATAAGCTGCTCTCGCCCGACATGGAGTCCAAGGTGCGCGTGACCGTGGCCATTACAGCGCTGCTCAATGGTCCACTCGATGTGGGAAATCAAATTGTGGCCAGAGAAGGTGCGTATACCACCTCTTACTACTCTTTATTTGATATTCAAAAATGTCTTTTTTTCTTTTAGGAATTCTGCAAATGATCTTGGCAATGGCTACCACGGATGATTTGCTACAGCAGCGCGTAGCGTGTGAATGCCTTATAGCAGCCTCCTCGAAGAAGGACAAGGCGAAGGCCCTGTGCGAACAGGGCGTGGATATCCTCAAGGGATTGTATCACTCCAAGAACGATGCCATACGCGTGCGCGCTTTGGTCGGACTGTGCAAGCTGGGCAGCTATGGAGGTCAGGATGCGGCCATAAGGCCATTTGGCGATGGCGCCGCTTTGAAGCTGGCCGAGGCCTGTCGCCGCTTTCTCATCAAACCGGGCAAGGATAAGGACATACGACGCTGGGCTGCCGATGGCTTGGCCTATCTCACGCTCGATGCGGAGTGCAAGGAGAAGCTGATCGAGGACAATGCATCCATACACGCGCTCATGGACTTGGCTCGCGCTGGTGATCAGTCGTGTCTCTACGGCGTCGTTACCACCTTTGTGAATCTGTGCAATGCCTACGAGAAGCAGGAGCTGGTGCCCGAAATGGTGGAGCTGGCAAAGTTTGCCAAACATCACATACCCGAGGAGCATGAGCTGGACGATGTGGATTTTGTGAACAAGCGTATAACAGTGCTGGCCAATGAGGGCATTACCACAGCGCTCTGTGCCCTGGCCAAGACCGAGAGCCACAATTCGCAGGAGCTGATTGCGCGTGTGCTGAACGCCGTCTGCGGTCTGCAGGAGCTGCGCGGCAAGGTGGTGCAGGATGGCGGTGTGAAGGCACTTCTGCGCATGGCGCTGGAGGGCACAGATAAGGGCAAACGGCATGCCAGCCAAGCGCTGGCACGCATCGGCATCACCATTAACCCGGAGGTGGCATTTAGCGGTCAACGTTCTCTTGATGTCATACGGCCGCTGTTGAATCTGCTGTATCAGGATTTTACGGCGTTGGAGAACTTTGAGGCACTGATGGCGCTCACCAATTTGGCCAGCATGAATGAGAGCGTTCGTCAGCGCATTATCAAGGAGCAGGGCGTCTCCAAGATCGAGTTCTATTTAATGGAGGATCATTTGTATCTGACACGGGCCGCTGCCCAGTGCATATGCAACCTGGTCATGTCCGATGATGTGGTGAAAATGTTTGAGGGCGAGAACGATCGTGTCAAATTTCTGGCACTGCTCTGCGAGGATGAGGACGAGGAAACGGCCATGGCCTGCGCCGGCGCTCTGGCCATGCTCACCTCCGTCTCTACCAAATGTTGCGCCAAGGTACTAAACATTGCCAGCTGGCTAAATATCCTGCACACGCTCATCGCCAATCCCAGTCCGTCCGTGCAGCATCGCGGCGTTGTTATTATACTCAATATGATCAATGCGGGCGCCGAGATCGCCGCGAAACTCTTTGAGACGGACATCATGGAGCTGCTCAGCGGTCTCAGCCAGCTGCCCGATGACGCTCGTGCCAAGGCGCGTGAGGTGGCCACGCAATGCCTGGCGGCTGCCGAACGCCAACGCCTCATCGAGCGTTCCGATGATGCCGAAATTCCGGACGTATTTGCCGAGAGTGCCAAAATCACCGAAATCGTGGATGAAGATTGAGTTGCCTTTTACAGTAGCTTTTAAATCTCATCTACTCTTTCATCTAACACTTCACCAGCGAGTCTTTCACTGTGTCATTTTATTTATTTTCGAATCACTTTCTTATAGTGTACTTAAGCTTAACGTGTTTTTAATTCTGTACGAATTTATAATAAATTCAAAAAAAATTTTCGTTTAAAAAAAATGTTTTTTTTTAGACGGACTGGCAACAGGTTCTGTACTGAATCGGTTCGAATTCGGAATCACAAATATTTTATGTAAACATTTTATTTAAATATAAATATTTAAAGAAATTAATGATAATTTTTATTTATTTTCAAGTAGAACCTTTTTTGAAGCTGCGACAAGTTTTAACGACTTTCTGAAATTAAGGAAAAATGTTTAAACTATTCACAAACAGGTTTTGTACTGTACACTGGCTCGAGCTTGGAACAACAAATATTTGATTTAAAAAAAAAAATTAATTAAATATTACAAATTTAAAGTAATTTCTGATTATTTTTTTATTTTAAACACGAACTTTTTCTAAAGCTGTGACAAGTTTTAACGACTTTCTAAAATTAAGAAAAATGTTTAGTCTATTTCTATACGTTGACAGTCCCAACGATCTCAATTTGGTATGTAGGCTCTTTTATGTATAAAGACACATAATATAGTATACTCTGCCAGTTAAACAATCTTAATATTATTATTATTTCTACATGATCAAAATGTAGTTTTATTGTGTACATACTTGAAATTCATATTTAATTTACTTGCCATAAATGTTAATCACAATTTAGTTGAACACAATTTTTGGGCAGACACTTTATAAATACTGTTAGATAGCAGCCCTCCCCGCAAGCTGTAGAGCACTTGCTCCAAACA